TGTGTGTGTGTGTGTGTGTGTGTGTGTGTGTGTGTTGTCAAAATACCTTTTAGTACATATGTTGTTAAAATAAAATGAACAGTGCAATGGTCATTTTATTGATATGTAAGACTGCAAAGGCTGAAAAATCTTGAAGTCTGTATAAAATTGAAGGTAGTTTGAGGATTAATATTTTTGTTTTTAAGCTCAAAAAAGGGGGAGTCGTATTATTTATGAATAAATATGGCAGCATAATAGAAGCTAATATTAGCACAAGGAAGTTAAAAAGAGAAGAAGCAGAACAAAAGGTGCTGTAAAGATTTAGAAACGTTTTGAAGGATTTTAAGGATGTTGAAAACAGCTCCAYTCATTTTCAATAAGAAAAATGTGGCAGAAAAAGACAAACAGTTAAAAATGTATAAATAGCTGAAATACCAAGTCATAGCTGGAATGTCCTGAAGTGGCTGAACGTTTTGATGATTGCTGAAAGAACACAAAAATCGCGGAACGAGAAATGTGCCAAAAAATTGCATGGAAAAAAAATTAATGTTTGTGAAATATTCACAATAAATCCTACAGTTTTTACTGCAGGTTTCTCTTTTCATTTGGKTTTATTGTAAAACACGAGACAGCAGGAATCATCCTGAAAGACGGAGCTCCAGTTCAAAGTAAGTAAATTCAGGCTCGACCTGAATCCCTTCACCCTGTTATCTCCCTCCAAATGTCAAGCACCTCAATTCGCTGATCAGGGCATAAAAGTACTTATATATATTATGTCCTTGAGTCCCGGAGATTAGAATTTCCATTTCAGGCAAAAAGAAAGGGAAAAAAAAGCCTCTAGAAAGGCAAACATCTCATGCTGAGCACAGAGAAGCGGAAAGGTTACTGAGCCTTATCTGCAATTATGCAAAAACACAGAGAGACCGGCCGAAGCTCGATGCTACAAAGAGAATCGACGATGCCTTGATGCTCGCAGCGTCCCCCTCTCCTCTGCACGTATGTAGCATGCAGCAGGAACAGCTGACTGTACACTGCACACACCTTGTCAAGCTGTGAATTATGAATACAGGCAATTAAAATTTAAATCGCTCCCTTTAGTTAAAAAAAACTGGCTTTGGCAACTTGGCAAGTTTCTTGTTTTAAGTTTACTTCAGGAGAGTCGTTTGTGCAGCTGGAACAGACTTCCATAGGAAACTGGTTTAATTACACCCAAAGCTTTCATGTTGAGTTTTACTTCATGTGTAGTAAAAAAAAAAAAAAACCAACAACAATCTGAGCAGCTCTGAGTCTTTGACCCTCCTTCTTCTGGCAGGTTTTCTGACGTGGAGCTGCTCAGATGTTGACAGCTCCACTTCTGCGCTCATTGTGTCAGCCGCTTCATTTTTACTGACACTTCCTTTTTTTTTTTACTTATCTAATTTTTTTTTTCTTTTCCACAGGAAGAAAGGTTCGGAGAAAATGAACCAAATGTTTTGCTTCATGGGTCACGCTGTTTTATTTATTTTCATCAACACCTGAGGACATAAATAGTTCAGTTTAAAAATAATGGCTTTCATCTTCAATTATAGCTGTGAATATTCAACATGAGAGCAATGGTGCCCCCTTGTGTAAAGCATAATTAATAGTTTGATGGTAATACGGATTAGTGGTAGATTATTATGCAAACTGATGGGACACAGTGTGTTTGGGAGGTTTTATTCCACAGACTAATATGTTTCATCTCTGCAGTAAACTTGGATGCTCCTCTTTGTGGTTGCTGCAGGCCTATCCTCCGCTGTCAGAGCTCTGGGCACACTGCACCGGCCTCGGCTCAGTTAGCTGCTCGTAGGACAGCGCTGTCATAATCTGAAAAAAAAAGAAGAAGAAAAAGAAACAGTGTTGTGGCTTCAGAGGACAGAAAGTGCAGAGTAATCTGTAGGAGCTGCAGAGACGTGCTGAGTTCAGGAGTTTGCAGCAGGAAGACCCTGTGGCTTCAGCTTTCAGCTTCTCTCACACACAGACATTAATCAGCTTTTTACCTCTTCAATAAATCAGCTTTTCTTTATTTATAAGAAACTAAAGGTGSAGGATGTACAGTGGGCTGCAAATGTGCTAAAACCCCTTAATAGAATTCCATTTTAATTATGCCACCCCCCCCCCCCCCCCCCCACACACACACACATGAAGTGGGGGCTCACAATGTTTTCATACTGTTTATTTTATTTTTTATTTTCAGTGATTTTCAGTCAGTTGTAGTACAGAAACAGCCACCCGCTTCTGAGGTTATCATCCATGAAATGGACRTTATTAGGTGTTATCAGTCCCATTGAATGGCTTCAGAATGTCCCGCCTGTGCCGTTAGCAGGTCCCCATCCCAAAGAATGGCTTCCAATTGTCAGCTGGTTARTATGAGGCWTAAAGCCACTAARGTTAACTTTAGAGAAAATGACATGGCTAGCGCTAAAGACGCCGCCCTCCAACGGTTGTATAATGTGGCATTCCAATAGGGCAATGGGTAGTGTCGGATCAGAGGGCAGGAGACCTGACACGGACACAAAAAGTTTATTTCAATATCTTTTGGTTATTTACACATTCATTGTCATTGATATGTTAACCCACTAGAGGGCACTGTCGGGACAGCCTGAAGCACAGAGGGCACAGTAGGGACCCTCTGAAGCCATTGTATGGAACTGATAACACCTAATAACGTCCATTTCATGGACTGAAAACATCAGAATCCCCTGAAACAGCTGCACCGATCRACATGAAATTTGGCAGGAACGTAGATGTGCCCGACTTACACTGCACCAGCCAACAGCTTTATGAYAGACCCCATATTTGAGGAGGGGGCTCCAACTGAAAAGGGGGTGTTTAGACATAAAAATGCTTATAACTCAGAAACTATTCAACATAGGAGCTTCAAAGATTTATTTTTTGTTAGTTTAGCTTTGATGAAGTCTATCCATTGAGCCCACCCAAAACAATAAATCTGTTCTGCTGCATTGATGCTTTGCGTAGGTGTGGGGGTCATATATCGTTATATGGTATCTACTGGTAGTTATAATTAATAAACCTACATGAAATGCTCCAAATGACTGAAGTTAATGGTGTAAAATAAAAATAAGTATTTTAAATCATTCTAAAAAAAATCTATAAATCTGCTATGTACAAACACATTCACACACTTTGACTTAAAGCTCCACTTGTTCCTTCAGAAGCCACATTCTGCCAAACACAGAGTCGTCCAGCAGAACTCACTGACTGGGCAAGAAGGGCAATAATCAGAGAAGCAACCAAGAAGTCCAAGATAACCCAGATTGGATCTGTGCTGCAGAAATGAGAGCATCAGTTTATTGGACCACTAGAAGCTGCAGAGCTGCTTCATCGAGAAGCCAATACTTCAAACAAATGAGGAGGACTGGRTGGATTTTTCTGCATTCAGACACAAGCTGTGACATACTGCGCCTTGTTTCTGAGAGAACAGGCAGAAGAAAAACTAAGTGTTTATTTCTGCAGCTTTTCACGCTCGTTTTTTTTATTTTCAGGTCAGGTTGGGTCGGCGTCAGCCAACTTTCTGACTCATTCTGTCCTCAGGGGACACGCCGATTGATTTTTTTATGACTTGGACCATGGAAATGTTGACCTCCAGTTACAAGTGAAGTGACTTGTGACCTGTCCAGGTGTACCCCGTCTGTAAAACAGGGACTGCTGAAGACAGGCTCCACCTCCCTTTGAACTGGACATGAGGCAGCAGGTGAAGAAAATGAATGTAATCAGATTACACTGAGTTCCCTCATTTTTATAACTACGTTAATTTTACTTTTAGGCTTCCTTCCAGCTGTCTGTTGTGATGTATTCCTGCTTTCAGAGCAGGGTTGCCAGATCAGACTGACAGTTTCCAGCTTAAACACAATGGAAATTTTCCTGTGATGACTTTCTAAAAACCCACTAAATGTGTTCAAAAGAACCCATCCAGGTAAAGTACTGTGGTGTCAGAATGGTTGTGTAGACCCTCCTATTTTTATTGGCACCTCTTTTGACCATCTGGATCGATCTATGGTCTCTCCAGAGCCAACAATATCAAAATATGTTTTGCAGGGTTTTTTCGACTGAAAGATGGTAAAATGTGCTATAAGGAGGAAAAAGCTGCCAGAAGAAGGAGGTTGAGTCATTTTTGATGAGGAAGTGAGGCGTCTGTGGAGCTTTAGACTCTGGATCATGGATGAGGACATTGTCTTTCTTTTAAAGGAAATTAAAAATCCTTCATATGCTTCCGTTTGTTTATATGTTTAGATGTAAATACGTTAGAAAAAACATGAAAATTAGTGGTTATTTGTCACATTCCAGCTGTTTGTGGTTGGGATTATGTTTACAACTGCATTATTGCCAGTCAGACCCCTTCAGGGTGGGATTGTACTCCTCTAGAGCTGTCCGTTGTCACCGATTCTATTCCAGACTTTTATGGACAGAATTTCTCGGTGCAGCCAGGGGAGTGGAGGGAGTCATGTTTGGTGGCCTCAGGATTCCACCTCTTTTATTTTCAGATGATGTGGTTCTGTTGGTGCAGAGGTTTCTGACATTATCAGTCCATTAAATGGACGTTATTAGCGGTTATCAGTCCCATAGAATGGCTTCAGACTGTCCCRAGAGTGTCAATGACATTGAATGTGTAAATAACACTATCCCGACAGTGCCTCCTAGTGGGTTAATATATCAATGACATTGAATGTGTAAATAACAAAAACATTTTAAAGGGATCCACGATAAGTTGTAACATTAGACTTTATTTGATAAACATCGATTTTAACTGTAAAATAAAGACTGTAAAAATACTGAAGGGTGTTCAGTTTTCATAATTTTTAAATTAAAAATTTAAAAATATATTACACAGACGGTGACATTTTATTTGCACACAAAGCATTCTGGGYAAATGATGWCGTGGATAGATCCTCGGTGCGAGGCTGCTAGCGAGCTATATCCACCCTGAAGGTTAATCTTGGACAATATCTGACGATAGACTCTTAAATGAAACCAGAAAAATGAAACCAGAGAGCGTTGACAGAGAGGAGAAGGTAGAAATGACTCAGCCTGGAACTGAAAATATGGATGGAGGACAACAGAGCTGCTTCATGGAAGAAGAACCTCAGCTTAGCCTGTTAGCTTTAGCATTAGCCTCGATGCTATCACCATATATATGCAATAGCTCAGCGCTACACATTTTCCTCTCATCACTGAGCTCCTCCATCCACATGACAGAGAGGGGAACACAAAAATGACTCAGCCTGTAACTGAAAATATGGATGGAGGACCTCAGTTTAGCTTGTTTGKTGTGCTAGCGCTGAGCTAATACATATAAGGCAATATAGCGTCAGTGCTAGCACAAAAGCTAACAGGCTAAGCTGAGGTTCTTCTTCCATGAAGCAGCTCTGTTGTCCTCCATCTATATTTTCAGTTCCAGGCTGAGTCATTTCTACCTTCTCCTCTCTGTCAACGCTCTCTGGTTTCATTTAAGAGTCGATCATCAGATATTGTCAAAGATTAAACTTCAGCGTGGATATAGCTCGCTCACACCGAGGACCTATCCACGTCATCGTTTACCCAGAATGCATTGTGTGTAAATAAAATGGTTCTGTCTGTGTTAAAATATATTTTTAAAAATGTACAAAACTAAACATCCTACAGTATTTTTACAGTCTTTATTTTACAGTTAAAATATATGTTTATCAAATAATGTCTAATGTTACAACTAATCAGGGATCCCTTTAATGAATTTTTTTCTGGGGTGGGGGTGCAGTTTTCTCGATGTTTGCTTGATGCCTGTGCCTGGTCTTGATCCTGGCTCTCYGGTGCTCTGCCCATTGCCCTGCGTTGGGCCTGCAACACTGGTCTACTTTATCGTAGCYCATGTAATTTTCTCTAAAATTAACCTTAGTGGCTTAATGCCTCATACTAACCAGCTGACAGTCTGAAGCCATTCTATGGGACTGATAACAACTAATAACGTCCATTTAATGGATGATAACATCCGAAGCGGGTTGTTGGTGTCATCGTTCTGTGATCCTCAGCTCTCACTGGATTGGTTCACAGCTGGGATGAGGATCAGCCCCTCCAAATCTGAGAGGGATCGTTCTCTCCGGATTGGGGGTGATGTTCTGCCTCAAGTGGAGGAGTAGAAGAATTTTGAGGTCTTGTCCACGTGTGAGGGAAAAGTGGAGTGTGGGATCGGCACATGATYGGTGTAACTTCAGTTTTGTGTCTGTTGTGATTCAGAGGGAGCTGAGCTGTAAGGAGAAGCTCTGTTTACCAGACCGTCTCTGTTCCTATCCTTATCCATGGTCATGAACTTTGGGTAGTGAYTGAAAGAACAAAATGACAGATACAAGTGGTCAAAGAGTTTTCTCTGCAGGTTTTGACTCCCCCTTAGAGATGGGCTGGGAAGTTCAGTTCTCCAGGAGAGACTCAGTAGAGCTGCTGCTCCTCCACATGGAGAGGAGCCAGTTGAGGTGGTTCATCTAGTAAGGGTGTCTCCTGGACGCCTCCCTAGGGAGGTGCTTCAGGCATGTCCAACTGGGAGAAGACCTTGAGGAAGACCCAGGGTCTTCCAAGGGAAACACCTTGGAGTCCTCCCAGAAGAGCTGGAAGAGGTGACCAAGACAAAGAGAGGTCTGGACCTCCCTGATCAGATAATACACAGATTTCTGTTGTAAATAACGTTTACCTTCTCCGAGCGTATAATACAGATTTCTGAAGAGTACGACATCTACTCTACTTTCAAAACCTCATGAGACTGATGTTCTGCTCATTTCAGCTCCCTGGCGGAGCGTGTGGTGGACACAGCAGGAAACTATCACTGAGGAAATACTGGAATCGGTTTCCTTTGAAGCAGCTCAGGTTTGTCCTAAACGTCTCTCACTTTGCAGCAGAAGAAAATGATTCGTTTGTGAACTCTTCTTTGGATTTGTCAGATAAAAAATAAAAATTATATTTTTCTATAAAATTCACAAAAAATCAATACCAGAAACTATGCAGAAAACTTCAGTGTTCTGTCAGTTTAGCCTTTAAATCAGAACAGATGCAGGACTTCTGATCAGGTCAAATTGCCTCATTGATCAGTTTTCAGAGGGTTACTGTCTGTTCTCTCATTGTCTTAAGAAACAAATATTAAATACGATCTGTAGCACCCTGTGAGCTAATGCATCAGACATTGTTTTAATATTGCTTGGATTAATAAAAGCTTTTGACAAAATAAGATAAAAACAGACTTCCTTATTTTCTGAAATACAACCATAATTCAAATAAAGTTGGGATGTTTGGTAAAAGATAAATAAAAACAGAATACAATGATTTACAAATCATTTTTAATATCATCAAAATCATATTTAAATTCAAACAATTTTTTTTTTTGGCAAATATTCACTCATTTTGAATTTGATGCTGCAACACGTTCCATAAAAGCTGGGGTCATGTTTCCCTCTGTGTTCCTTCAGCTTTCTTTTAACAACACTCAGTAGCTGTGTTTCCGTTGCAAATGTGCGCAAAACTTTGTCGATATTCTGTTAATATTGAAAAAACACAGTTTTGCAACTGCAGTGTTTCCATTAAGTAAGAAATGTTATTAAAGTCACGTGTGAATACGTTTGTTCTCATGATAAGTCATTACAAACATGGC